AGCTTTCGCTGAGCGAATTGACACTTTTGATGCCCTAAACGTACATACTCTCAAATTTATCGAAAAAAATAATACTACCTAAACTCGTATATTCTTATTTTAAATATGATATTATCCTTAGATTCCACACTAGAATATATTTAAATCAACTTTTAAAAAAGTTCGAATCCTGCGCGTCTCACTTTTTAAATTTTCCAAAAGGAAAATTATATTCTCCTAAAATGAAAACAATTTTCCGAATTGACATCCTTAGACCTCCAAATTTTTTATTGGAAATTTATTGATGTCGATTTTAAGGGTCCACTGTAAAAATTGAAAGTCTCTCAAAATTGAGAGGCGATTTGCAAATAATCGTTATCGTCTTTTCCCGAAAATCCACTTTTCCTAGTGTTCTGATTAATATTTTGTGAATGTAACAATGAAGTATATGTTTTAATAAGATGATAATATATTCTATCACTTCAAACCACATAAAAATTGCAAAATCAGCGAGTTTTATAAGAACATGATTTTTTCGAATTTTTTTTGCTTCTGGATGCGTGTTTTGAAAAATAGATATTTTCGAATTTTGATTTTATTATAAGTATGAATTTTATATTAGGAATTTTTTGACCTATTTCCAATCATTAATTCCTAAGTTTTTCTAGGAATTAAATTGAGAAGAAATTAGGAAATTCGCTTTAATGCCATTACATCCTAATATTGTGATGCATGTAGTTTATATTTATTGAGGCTAATGTCGGAATATCGTGCATTTTATAAAAAATTCAAAGGATTGACAATTGGATAGCACAAATTTAATTCTCCAGACAAAGTATTATTGTTTATATATTCAAAACATTATCCTTAGTTTTGAAATGTTGGCAAAAAATTTTCGTGCTATTTTTTGTGTTTCAGCATAAATTATGTATTTACTTATGAAAGATAAGCATTTTATTCATTATCATAAAGATATACCAAAACAAATTGATAAAATTTAAAAAAATGTGTATTTTAGTGGGTATTATTCTGGCCAATGCCCATTTTTAAACGATTTAATATTGACCATATCAATAGCCGACTCAATGTAAAAATTTAGATATTATTTTTTTCATTATTCAAACTTTGATAAATTTTAGTATAATGAATGATTTTGTTTCGGGTATGATACAGAAATGAAAAGCTTGATTAATATCATTTTGCATTTTTTCAAGAATGTTAGAGTACATCTACATTAAAAAATCGGATTCGAATTGCGATACTGCATCAAATTGTTGCACATCTGATAAGGATCTCAAAAGAGTAAAGTTAATTTTTTTGTGTTTTTTTAAGTTTTGGGCCTTAGTAAAAACACCATCTTGAGCAATATTTTTGGGACGACGATAGGCCTTATTTGGCCTTACAGTGGACCCTTAATTTGAGATATGAAATTAAACTGAAACTTTATCACATACTAATTTTGTGATTTTTAAGCTTTGAATATGCATTTTTATGAATGATTCAATGAATATTTAACCGTAGAGGTAGGGCAACGATAGGTCAAAAAGGCTTCTCTGATAGATTTCCTTGCCTTTTGGATATGCTATAATATATAGCCTAGCATGATAGGATATGATGTCAAAAGTTAGAACATAACTTAGGATCTTGAGAAAAATGAAAAACAAAAATTACATAAAAAAAGAAAAATTTTATCTAATTTGTTTTTTTGGACCGAATAAGTAATTTTATTGAATTTCAATACGACACATAGATTTTATTATTAGTAATAAATATAATGGTTTACTATTAACAAGGAACCTAAAATAATGAAAATTTGATTTCAAATATTGTATATGATTATCATAGATTACCAAAATATATTGCTATTTATGAGGATATAATATTGATTATTAGTAAATCGTATAAATTTAATAAATATACCATGAATATTGAATGAATTTCTTGATTCATAGGGGTAAAACGCGCTTTTATATGATTTAGACAGAGAATTTATGAGATGTAAATAACACAATAAAGGTTTATATTGAATATTTTCTAAAAATAAATCGAAATTATAAAAAACAATACATTTATTCATTGAAACTACTTGGACAAATATGAAACAAGCATTCAGGCAATACTTTTGAGACTTCAACGCATCTGATAATTTTTATATAACTTCACCTCTTATGCTTAGAGTGGAGGTATTGAGATCGTATAAGTATAGATGAGCTCACATTCAGATATGATGTGTGAACTTCTGTTTTCACTGCAATTTTGAATCAGAATAAACTCAAAACAAGAATAAAATGATATACTCACTCTCTAAATGTGTTCGAGATTTAAAGTTGTATGAATAAAACGATTCATCTTTCGAAGCCTCCCATTTAATGAGAGACTTCGAAAGATGAATGTATTCATGTAGATGAAATACTATATATGACCATGTGTGATACTAAAGATATCAAAATGTTCATTTTTAAGTGCAATAGAAGGGTTATCTCTCGTAAAATCTCAATTTAAGGAAGATTTAGAAAGAACTCCTTTCCTAAGTAGATAGTGTGTGGTTTCTGTCTTTTGGTTGATCAGGAACTATGAAATTAAGTCGGACAGAAAGAAGTTCTTTCCAAAACAGACTCCAAATGAGTTGTTCGAAAAGAACTTCCTTCTGTATATGGATAATTGTAGTTACCGCACTGAAGTATGTGATTGTGATGATGGAGTTCTCGATAAATCTAAAATCGGATTAAGATTAATTGAAAACTCAAGTAATTCTTTGAAATCTTGTGTTGTCTGGCACTATAATAACCAAAGAATGAGAATATTATGTTGAATGATGAGTACGTGTGCTCGGCATTCGCCGAGCGAATTGAGTTTAACGTACTATGAAAAGTGACAAATTTGGGCTTTTTTTCCTAGGGTTATGATCTCTTCCTTTCTGCTCAATACGACAGAAATGAAAGAATGAATTTGTACTCCCTAATTGATTACTACAATCTGTATCTATCTTTAACATAGAATTAGCTGCATTGTGATTTATACTCCAGAATTATTCAATTTAAGATCAACCTCGTAAATTTTAATCATATTGCACCAATACTCCTACGTTGAGATAAGAACATGATTATACATACCAAAGACCCATATTAAAAATCAAAATTTAGCACCTCCATTATGCAACCACATTATTCGTCGCAAATAAGTTTATTTACGCATATTATGATGCATATTCACACAACTCGTATACATGAAAAGTTATTAAAATCAGACAAAATTATTGCAATAAGGAAAAAAAAACAACTTTATTATATATGTTAGTAATGAATTACAAATATTTCTACAAAGAATGCTCAATACTTCATATAATCTTCGAATATTTCTTATTACAAGTTAATACATTTTGACTCGAACATGATAAACAAAAGCCGACACGCTGATTACTACATTTATGAAAATATAGTACGTTTCCATTCATCTGTTTACTTGTTTTTGTTGGAATAAAATCATTTTTTTTTCTTTCATGAAATAAGAATTTTGCTGCGAAAGCAATATCTCTAACAATAATTAATACATTACGTCAACTCTGGAATGAGTATTTATCAAATATGATATCAAAATCAAAAATTAGTTGTTTTTTATGAGTAAAAACGATGTAAATTGATTATTTGACTAATTATCAAATACTTTGATTTTCCAAATTTTTTTCGAAATTAATTTTTTCATGTGAAAATTCAAATTGTTTAATTTCATTTTTGAAATTTTGAATTTTTTTTGGAATTTTGAGTTGATCAATTCAGCAGAATTGATAATGCTATTGCTTTAGGGCATACCACAAGGTGATGAATAAAAGGTGAACATTAACAAATTATTTTAAATCACAAATATCATCCTCATCAACTTTAATTCTAAAAAGAACTGTACTGAATTATGAAAATGCATGATTTACATTATTAAAATCTTTGAATGAAAATAGTACAAGATAAGTTTTTATTCATTTTTAATTAGATTTAAACGAAAAACTACTCCATATTAAAATTTAAGTCGAGAAATCGTATTTTGTTCTTATTTGTTAGCATTTTGTAGACATTCTAATCTTGAATTAATTTGTTACATGATATTATTAACAAATTTAACTGAAAAAATATGTTAATATGGAATAAACCATGATTATATAAGCTATCAATGCTATATATACATATGTAAAAGATTCATATTAACTCAATTAACAAAAATGATAGATTTTCATAAAGGTTCAATCTAGGTTCGTCCGAAAATTTTGATTTTTATATAGAAGACATAGTTTCATATACATAATTAAATTTTCAAACAAATTTGATCATACCATTTATTAAGCAGGATAGTATATTAATTACTATCAGTATAAAAATATAAAAATGATTATATTTAATTATTGCATAATTTAGTCAAAGAGTTATAAGCCTCAAGTGATTGTTATCACCTTCAATGCACGTATACTTTATTGATTCATAGATATTTAATCTATGTTTGACATGTTGTTGTCGTCATTCGTTTTGTTCCCATTCTTCCTAAGTTAGAATTAGAGAATACACCATCCACATCATCTAATTTGGTCCTCAGCGATAGATTGGTTCATTTTGGAGGAGTCCCATCAGACAGTTTTCGAGCACCAAATATCAAATTTTAATGTATACAAATCTTTAGTGATTTATCTCTTTTATGATGAGTAAAAGGTTTCTGCTCATCAACATTTGATTTCCGACATATATGATTTCTAATTGCAATTATTTACTTTCTTTTTATAATCTAACTCTGTGACTCATACCATAAATTAATTATTGGAAAGTGTCAATATGTTTGGCACAACGCATGGCGGAAGATACCAAACCATGCAGGGAATATGATACGTTTAAGATCTCCAAACTTTTTTTCCAAAAATTTTCTATCGTTGCCCTACCTCTTTAACCGTGTTTACCAAAGACAAAAACATTGAATTAAATCACATATCTAAATGTTTGATTTTTTTTGCCTAAAATCAATCCGCCAAAATCGACGGTTTTTCGATGCTCAGTTTCCGAAAAAGCATGGACTCAAGAGTTCCGAACAGACCTTCATATTCATTCTTCGACGCGCCAATCCCAAAAGTCAACAAAGAGATGTTCCCTATTGATCCAGCCATTATCGGACGCTCCATACCTCGCCCATCTCGTCCAATTGGCCAGATCTCTCATAGGTATGCTAATAAACCTATTAAAACGATACAACCCGAACGACACGAACCCGTGTTTTGTTGTCAACCATTTACTGTTTGAATAAACTAATATATAGTACTATATATACTCATCTAATCAATCGTTATCGCATATAATTGTTACATTCTCCAGCTATTATTTTATCGTTATTTTCTTTTTATTCGATAATAGGATTTTGAACAAAAATATTTCTTGATATGAATTAAAGGCGAATTTGTGCACTACATTTAAACTTTATTTTTAATAACAAGTATTTTTATCAAAAGCTTTTCATCAGGACAAATGATTGTGAATAAATATAAACGTGACATAACGATACACTCAATTTTTTTATTTGAATCATTTTCTAATATCGCCCTTTGTTAGAAGCATGCTCTTATGGAGACAAAAATAATGCTATTTATTCATACAATTATCATTTCTTTCATTGGTATTTTTTTCAAAATGTTTTATTATTTGTTTTGGCCTCTCTCGGATATCAGACAAGGATAATTCAGGATAAAAAGCAAAGTTCTGGTATAGATATATGATGCTTTTTACAATGATAATTTCTTCATATCATTCATGAGGCTCCAAGTGTTTTAAGTCAATTCTATCAAACTCCACAGGCAGTTCTTAACTTTGATGTTATTTAATTAAAAATTATTTCATGAATTTCAATTTTCGACTTCGGTAAGAGAAAACTACATGACCATCGAGTTTTGTATTGAAGTGCATTCCCATATTCAGTTTCATATCATCATTCGAGTATTTAGACTCATGTAAGGTTTCCGGTCAGATCTTGTTGAATAAAAATTTTTGGTCTATTGATCAGAAAAAAACGGATAATTATAATGCATGTTCAATTAATAATACATTTCAATCGATTAATCTCTGCAACTGGGATCGGCGCTTTAGCTAGTCAAACCGTCGGATTCAATACAAATGAGCACCCCTGCATACATCTTCAAGTTTATCATTGTTGGCAATTCTGCTGTTGGCAAGAGCTGCATGCTGCTCAGATTCGACGAAGACCGCTTTCAGCCAATTCACGATGTTACTGTAGGTGTGACTTTCTCAATCAAAATGGTTTCGATTGAGGGACAAGATGTCAAAGTCCAGGTCTGGGATACAGCCGGACAAGAAATTTTCAGATCGATTACAAGATCTTACTATAGAGATAGTGCTTGCGCTATAATCGTATACGATATTACAGACCAAAGTTCATTCGCTAAAGTCGAGGACTGGATTCGTGATGTAAGAAATCTTGCACCACCGGACTGCTTACTTGCTTTAGTTGGTAATAAATTAGATTTAGCAGCTCAACGTGCTGTCCAGACATCTGAGGGACAAGAGTTAGCAGAAAAACACAATCTTTTATTCTTTGAAACTTCTGCTGCTACTGGAGAAAATGTACAGGAGCTTTTCAACGAATGCGTAACAAATGTTTATACAAAGGCCAAGGGCAATAACTCATCTGCTGCTGTTAGGAAAGTATCAATCGAAAATGAAAATCAAAAGCCCCAAAAAACATCCTGTTGCTAAATTTCTGTTCCAGTTTTTATATATCTTTTTTATTTATCTTTCCTCAAGTAAAAATTACTTATATTTAATTACTACAGATTTTCGCAAATCAACTCAACTCTTAACTCTTGCAAAATTTTGATTTCTTTTCTATATCTTTAAATTTCCAGACCAATTCAGATATAAATAATCAATGAATACAAATCCTGAACGAAAGCTTCTAGATCCTATAAAAAAAAGTTAAAATAAATTTGGAATAAAAATAAAATTTAACGCCTACGGAAAAGACAAGACATAAGTATATAACTACACAAAACACCAACACCATATGCTAAATATTTCGAAAACGATTTGTAAAAGTCTAGTTCTTTTTGTAATAATGTTAAATTATTCTTTGCTTTTTCATTTTGCTCGTTAATTTCTTCAATTTCACCATCTTTATCTGCAATCAACCGGTTGGCTGCCTTAAGATCGCCTTCAATAGACGGTAGTTTCATCATATAATCAGTTAAGAGATCATTAGCATCTGAATTTTGCTGATTGAGTCTGTGACATTCTAATTTCAGTTTCTCAATTTCCTCCCTGAGCTGAAACATTTCAGCGTTTTTTTCAGACTCCGACATCAATGGGTGGAGGGGTTTACTTTGAATTGTCGGAGTCTCAAGCGCTTTTGGGCACTCGGGTTCTTCAGCTTTTGGAGCTTCTGCTGCCTGCTTTGCTTCTAATTGCTTAATTTCATTTCCAAGTGGCTCTATTATCCTGGAAAGAGTGGCGATAGATCCCTTAAGAGAGTAGTATGAAGAAAGAATTCTAGAACATCTCTCGATCTCTGGTGTAAATAATTTGGATGCTTCGTCGCGCTTTACGAGAACGCAGAAGAGACGGAAAACACTTTGTCTAATATCAGAATCGTTTTCATTGTTCAATGAGTTCTTGAAGCGTTCAAATGAATTATCAAATGTAATTTTCTTGTGGATCGGTTCAATAGCTTTTGTAATAGTGGCGATTAATTCTGTCTTGATTTCTCCGATACTAGCAACGACACTTTGATCAGTATAAGAAGTTTGAATTTCCTGGACTGTTGTCTGATAAAATTCATAAAACATTCTAAGATTTTCAAGTGTGTTGTTCTGCTTTTCCGAGCTATGCTCGCATTTAAGCAAAACCTGATCAATATGGGTAATATAAGTGCTAACTTTATCGAAACTTGTTTTATCATTCTTAATACATAAAGTTAACTCGACACAGCATGTCCTGAATGTACGGAGATTTGCTGCAATATCTTTACAGTCTGATTGCCACAAATAATTCATTCACTAAATTGTCACTTTTTATATAAATTGATAAAAGTGAATCATGTAAAAATTACGATTATTTTCATACGTTAGTGGTGAATGATTGACATAGACGACCTGCTTGACAGGCTCCGCACAGATATTTACCAAGGCGATGTCCTTCCAGAAGACTGGTTTTCTGGCTTCGATCGTTTAAGAAGTGGAAGAATTTTTCCTAACGAATTCCAACGTTGCTTTACATTAATGAGAATTAAACTCTCTCCTGAAGAGTTTAACATGCTTGTCGATAGATATAGACAAGGTGATAAGGTGAATTATAAGGAGTTTTGCCATGAAATCGAAGATATTTTCACTAACAGAAATTTAGAAAAAGCTCCACTCGAAACAACAAGAAATTCACAAGAAATTGTCTCTCGTACAATTGGAAAATTGGATGTGAACACGTCAGTTGAGTTGGATAACTTAATGGCGAAGTTACACCATCAGATTAAAACAAAAGGAATTCATTTGAGAACAGCTTTCATGGATTTCGATAAACATAACAATGGACGTATTACACAATCTCAATTCATGCGTGCAAACCCATTCAGGGATCTTACCTCCCGCGAAATCCAAGTATTATATGATCGTTATTGCGACCCACAACTAAAAGACTTCAACTATCGTAAACTAAATACTGATCTTAACGATTATGCTAGCATGCAACCAACCATGGTTGAAAGGTCGTTGACTCGATCGTTATTACCTCACCAAGAAAAGTCACTGAAGATCAAGAACTTTGATACTCCTCAGGAGCTTATCATTCCAAAGTTCGCAGAGCATGTTAGAAAGGAGAGAATTTGCATCAAAGATTTCTTCCAAACACATGATACACTCAGAACTGGCAGAATTCCTGTTCAAAAGTTCACAGGAACAATCACTCTCTTTGGATATCCATTCACAACCAATGATCTCGACTACTTAGTCTCTCAGTACTCAATTGTTGTCAATTATACACACTACATTAAGTATCTTGAGTTCTGCAATGATGTAGAAGCTGAAGTCGAGACTCAACTTTTTCCAGTCAAGTCACGTGGCATTGACACTTCTTCTATTACTCCATCAAATCCAAAGGTCGACGCAATTGTTGACAGACTAAAATCTCAGACAGTTAGATACAGAATCAACTGTCTTCCAACACTCATGGACTTCGATAGAATCGGCCAGGGCTACGTAACTCCAGTTCAATTCCATCGTGCTTTAACAACATTAGGATTCAAGGTCACAAACGAAGAACGTGACGAACTTGTTAAAGTATACGAGAAAGACAACCGCGGCGTCGATATTTACAGATTCATTGAAGATATCGATCCATCACATACTCAAAAGAGAAGAGAATTCAAGCCTGTTGGCGTTACTAAGGAGTCCATCATTGATACATATGGAAAGGCCTCAAACGGAGACAAGTTTGTCACTCAAGATGTAGCAGACAAACTTTTGCACGAATCTAAGAAAGGTCTTATTCCAAAGATCAATGAGAAAGATAACATCGATGACTTACTCATTGAAATGCACAAATGGTGCTTGATTAATTCCGTTCTTTTTGCCGAATTCCTTGGTCAATTTGATACCCACAATAATGGAGAGATTACAGCTGAGCATTTCAGAACAGGTATCACTATTTCCGGCTACAAACTCACTGACAAAGAATTCCAAGTTCTCAAAGATTACTATGCTAGTGAAACAAAGAAGGATTACGTGAAATGGAGACAGTTCGATAAAGATGTCAAGGAGATGACAGTTCCTCTTGATCTTGAGAAGACTCCACAGTTCAATCCATTGACACAAGCCGAGTTAAGAAGCACAACAATGAGAGATATCAAGACATTAACACCAAAAGTCCAAGAAATTGTCAAAGAAATCTCGAAATTCGTAAGAAAGCGGAGATTAAGTCTCATCGAGCAATTTAAAGACTTCGACAAACTTAATCATAAGAAAGTCAATGCTTCTCACTTCACGAGAATCCTCCAGTTGATCGGCTGCTATCTTTCTAAGGATAGAATTGATGAATTATGCTCTTTCTACAATGATCCGTATACAAAATTCGTAGATTACGGAAAGTTCTGTGCAGATGTTGATGAAATGACAGGACAATTGTTCGGAGACAGCGCCTCAACAACAATTGTTTCTAATGGATTCCCACACTACACAGACAGAGAGTCCGAATACTTGGTCTCCATCAGAAGCGGCCCAGCTGAAATTCCAACTATGGACAAGATCATGGAGAAACTTCAAGCCCACGTTTTCAAGAGACGTGTAAGACTCTTGGAGTTCTTCCAGGGCTTCGATGGATTAAGAAGAGGCTTAGTTCCAAAGCAAAAGTTCCACACTGTTGTTAGCCAAGCCGAATTACCTCTCACAGCTGATGAAATCGATTTGTGCTTGGAAGAATACGCCGACCCGAAGAGCAATGATTTGTTCAATTACAGATCATTCTGCGCTAAAGTCAATGAAGTCTTCGGTCCAACAGAATTAAACAGAACACCTTTGACAGCTCCTGTTCCAGTCAGAATCAAACCAGAGCCATCAAAGACGATTCAGAATTTGACTCCTCAAGAGGAACAAACAGTCAATTCTATTTTGAGGAGAATGAAGTATGTCGTAACAACAAGAAGAATGAATATCCGAGACCAATTCGAAGATTACGACAGAAAACCATACAAGAATTACATTACAAAACAGCAATTCAGACAAAGTATTTCAAGATTGGGATTATCCACAAATAGAGATGAATTGGATATCCTCTGCAAGAAATATAAGAACACAGACTTAGATGAAGTTAACTACATCCAATTCTGCAAAGATATCGATCCGTGAACATTGAATTTTATTTAGTTATTTTTTATTCTATTATGTAAACAGAACCTTTTAACCTTTTCTGATTGATTTGTTTAAAAATACAGTAATTTTCAAAAATTTAGAATTTTGAATTAAAAATTATTAGTTATCCATTGATGAAAGTGTTTGAAACATAAATTAGGCTATGTATACATATGAATTTTGACTTAAAGGTTCGATTAGTAATTCCAATTTTATCTCTAAAATTAAAGGCAAACTATAACATGATTTATTGCTTACAGACATATTCCGCTTTATTTTAATTTAAAATCAACAGTTGTAAATGTTAAACATTTATTGTGGATTTGACAATAATGAATATAGATAATCTGCCCACAAAGGACAGGATAATGTAACTAAGTAACAAATTCCCAATGAAAGTGAAAAATATTCCCCAAATCTTTTGAAATAAGTGCAAACAACCGAGATAATATATAATATCTTTCAAACAACATCTATCATGTAATAAGGAATATAAACATCGAGAATTGCGACCATTTGAAATAGGCGTTATCAAAATTTGATTGAGAGAACCGCGATAAAATTTCTATCAAATTAAAATATTATTAACCTTAATTTTCGTCTATCGTGATTAAAATAGTCAGAATAATCATTTTATAACAATATTCATTCAGATATTTTTTTCTGAAAGGTTTGAATTTCAATCATTATTGAATTCTTAATGGCTATTTTGTTATTAATATTACTATTGTAAAATATTTTGTCTCAAAATGTAAAATAACGTTCAAAAATACCTTTACGTTCAAATTGTTCTCCTCATTTGAAATGTTCTACATATTACTATTGGATTGTAATTGCCAGAAAAATTGTTTGATAACTTGATTAAAATTTAGAAGATTAATGATCAATCCGCTTGAAAGGTTTGATGCTTTCTCATCAAACCGGCTGAACAAGCGTGATGTCGGAAGTGGATATCAATTATCTTCTAGTTATACGATAGGTCCAAAAACACATGCTTTATTCACTTTCTTTCATCTAATAAATCGGTCAGTTACAAGTGCTCCATGGCTTTTCTATCTTCACGTGTTCTTCATTGCGATTCAGTTATATGCCGCTACATTCGCCCCATATAATACAGGTGTTTGGAATGGAAAGTACCCAAAATTAGATACATTTTTCAAAATATGCACTATTATCATCCGATATATTCCTAAAGGCTCAAGTGATACAGCAGAATATGTAGTATTTGCAATTGCAGCAGTTCTTACAGTCATGAACTTTTCATTATTCATATCTATCATCTTAACACTCAAAGTACAAGAAAGTGCAAACATGAAGCTGAAAATTTTCTTCTTTTACAACTTTTTCTTTTATCCAATATTTCAAAGTTGTTTTATTTCTATTACCACGAAGAATTTATACGCAATTATAGTTAATCCATCCATCGGTGCATTCTTTTTATCTGCCGCCGCTCTGATCGTTTTATTATTACTCTTTTTCATGTCTGGCTTAACCGCTATTGCCACTGCGTCATCACCAGCACCAAATGTAGCAAATCCAATTTCGGTTTGGGCACCAAATTCATGGGATAGCGTTGTATTTTACTTCATGGTCACATTAGTTTTTGTTTGTGTTGAATACGAGAGCGCTCTTAAGGGCACAGCGCTTGCTGTTGTTCTCATTGTGAGATGCATCGGTTCAAGTATCCTTGGTTCCTACCATGTTGCACGAATTTATTATATTAATTACTTTGCATATCAATTCATTACATCCTGTTACATGACATTTAATATTTACATCATCATTTTGATCATTTCTGTCTTCCATCCAGGAATTGTGCCTTATTGGGCAGTTATTGTAGTTTTTGTTTTTCTTGTTTTTGCACTGTTTTTCATTTTCAAACTTTATACTCATATTCGTATCAAGAAGTTCATGAAAAACCTGAAGAACGCACAGAAACTTGATCCCACAGATACAAAATCAAGTAAACGAACAGACGACGAAGATGAACCATTACTTGACCAATTTTCAGATTTGAAACTTGGTAATAGCATGCAAGCATTGTTTGCAGTCCGTGCAGCATGTATCTTAGGTCTTGATTGTTTTGCGGATGGTAGTATTGTTAAATACGTATTACATAACTATCCAGATTTGCAATTCGAGATGTTATACATGAATTTTTTGATTCCAGATAATTTGAATTTCCTTAAACAATTGATTGACTCATTTTTATCACGTAATACACCAAAATTCCTTGAAGCAGCAATCTTATTCCAACTTGTTACATCAATACAAGAGTCATCAAATGAATTATCATCTGAGATCTCACATGAAATCTCAAAGAACTCATTGGCAGGTTTCAAATGCGAACAAATCTTATCTAAGTTCTGGGCCGGCTGTTATAAAGGTGATATTTCACAGATGTCACGTTCAACATTTATGTTACATCAGAATATTTACGAGTTGTCAGAGAACTGGCGACAATTAGTTATCCGATATCCATATTCGACACCAACACTGAAAGAATACATCAAGTTCTTGAATGGCATTGGTCGTCAGCACCGATTGGCAGAAACATTGATCAAAGTCCATCCAAAGTTGTCAGACAATGCATCATCAAACATCAACCAAACACAACAAGACAATGAGATCAACATGACATTATTACACATGTCTATTGAAGATGCAGTTGATCGACGTCCATTATCGAGTTTGTATCATGCTAAAATCCGATTGTATTTAGCAGTTATATTAGCCATCATTTTCATTATCGCTGCTATTGTTTTAGCATTTATTTTCATTTATATCAGTTCAGGCATGTCATCATATTTATATTATTCAGACACAACATTATCACTGATTTTCCATTCTCCAAATCTTTTTGAAAAGATCAAAAACAACGAAAGTGATTCACGTGAGATCTTCTTCAACCATGCTAAGACATTAGATACATCCATGACAATGTTGTTGACGAACACGCCATTTAAAGTTCTGAAGAGTAATTCAGAATTGGATACAAATTTGACTGTTCAAGTTATCAATTACAAACAATCAGAAAAAGTCGGAATTGTCAAATTTTTACGATTATATTCATATTTTGCACGTAGTATTCCATTTGTTGAAACTAACGATACTCTTGTTACATTGATGAAGAACAATACATTTGGCATTGGCTATGCAGTGTTTCTTGCAAGTGATGCCGAATTAGTTTCTATTCAAAGTATTATTAATTCACTTCGTAAATACATCAACATTTTCTATGGTGTTACATGGGGCATCATGATCTTGTTCATGGTTTCATTGATATATTTAGGTCTTCAGAATGTTCGTAATGAGTTAAAATACATCTTTAACTTATATTTGACCATTCCACGATCATTAATTACGGAATTCATGGATGGCAATGGTTCCAAAAAAGAAAATGCACACCGAGTTTTCTCATCAAACATCTTACAAACGAACACATTTGATGATGTTGATGATGCACAACAGAACCAAGAACAGAATGATTACAAAGCAGTTGACAATCTCAAACTGCTAGTTCATGATCAAACATCAAGTTCAACCGTTATTCCTAAACACTTTTCTCTTAAAGTTTGGTTGATCCTCGGTTGTATCACATTGTTGTTGATGATCAGTGCAACAGTTGAAGTTTTCCTTTTCACACAGTTTGTTAGCGAGATGATGTTATGTTTCAGGACACTTCAAATGACATCACAACGAACGACAGGATGTTCTATTGCATTGCAAGGTTTGTTGAGTAACTTCACCACATTCTCACGAGATTATTGTGTTGCACGCCTTCAATTGTCAAAAGATTTCAACAACAAACTTTTGTTTGCAGTTGACGAAAACATCTCTAAGAAGATGCTCACATCATCCGATTACTACTCTATTGTTCACGACCATCCATGTGAAGACGACGCTAACATGAGTTGTTGGCCATTCAATCACTTGTTCGATTATTACATGATATTAGCCAGCAAAGCATTCAATTCAACTATTTCAGATTCAGAAATGAATACATTAGTTAATCTTTACAACGACTATTTGTATCCTAAATCAGTTGACTTGCATGAGATTGGTTACGAATACATTGTCAACCAATTCAAACGAGAACAAATCATTATTTTGCTTATTTTCTTCATTATCATCATTGTTGTTATTTTCACAGGTTTTGTTTTCCTTCGACCTATCATCAAACAACTTGATTCCACTATCGAAGCAGTCAAACTCCCATTGAAGTTCATCCCTCCAATCAAAGTTCCGGATCTCCCGAAGATCATGTTGTATCTTCAAGGTGAAGCAGATTGGCAATATGAGAATTTCTTGAATCTCACAGAGACAGACAATTCTCGATTCGGCAACTACTTGAACATCCTTGAGTATCCACATGCTATTTTCGAAGAAGACAAGACACTTCTATTCGCTAATCCTCCATTCTATTCATTGATTGGTGCACCACGCGAAGCATGCATTGGTCTTAGCATGGAATCTATTTTCTCACGAGTTATCAACTTCAAGAATGACGACAAACACCCATTCCACGACATCCTTCGTTTCGCTGATGGTGCAGCTCAACAGACATGCACAAGCATCACTACATCATTCGAACGTCAAGGTCGTAAGATGAAGAACGTCGAAATCCACCTTACAAAGATCGAAAGCGAAGAGAACAAACACGTCTTCATCATGTCATTCGACGACTTGAGTTATCACGACCATCTTGAAGAGATCACACGATACGAGCGCCAGATTGCCGAGAACCTGAAACACATGGCTTTACCAGCACAGCTATTCAACGCTCTTAATGTCGATGGTATTTTAAAAGCACGTAGCTACGAGAATACAGCTATGTCTAGTTTCTCTATTGGATATGCAAGCATCAAAGACGAATACGACGGCGAGCTTGCTGATGGCTGTTCTCTTTTCATGAAGTCAGTTAAAGAAGTTTCAGGTGTTTTCCCTAACATCGTCAAAATCGTCCAAGAACCTCCACATTTCATTTTCTTCTTGATTCCCGAAGAAAACGAACAACTTGATGTTATTGCCATCCAGATGGTCCACTTCATGAACGCTGTCATCAACTCATTCAACTCCAGCACACAGAAGTTCAAGATCTCAGGCATCATGCTCGTTGGTCAGATCATGATCATCCCTATGAAGACTAAGTTACCAGTCATGGAGTGTTTTGGGAGTGGATATCGTGTTTTGATTCAGACTCGTATGAAGATCAAGAACTCAGGGAAGTTCTATGTTACAAAAGACACCGCTTCTCTTCTTACGGAACAGAAGACAGTCACATTTTCAGAAGAATGTGACTCAGACTTATATGTTGTCAACTCTCGACACATGGATGACTAATTTATTTTTTTTACATTTGAGTAGGGGTAATTTTAGCTAAAAGTGACACACCTGTAAAAAGTGACACGCCCGTGAAGGATGTGATTACCGATCGGTAATTTCGACAGTTTAGAATTTAAAATTTTTTATGGAACTGTTGCGAGTTTCATAAAGAATTTAAGGAATATAAGCAAAGATTTGAATCAAAATCTTAGACCTAAGCCGCTCGATTCGCTCGCGGCTTCCGCGAATTACAGATCAGCAAAGATTTGAATCAAAATCTTCAAACTAAGCCGATCGCTTCGCTCGCGGCTTTCTTTATTATTTTAAATTTGCATATTTCCATCAAAAGTTCATAAGGTAAAAAATTTTGTTTATATTATTGCAAAATAAAATCTTCATTATCAAAATAATATTAAATGATAATATAATATAATTTATAAACAACTATTATTTAATAAAGTTTAATTGCCAAGGTTCATCTAATTTTTTGATTTTTAATGTTTTATGAATTTTATTTATCATGTATATATCTAATGAAGATTATATATGTAGAAGATAAGTACCTTAATATGTACGTAAAAATTAATGAAATCTATTTTGAATGTAGAACCGAGCAATTTTCAAATTTTGTGCTTTTTTTGAATTTTCTCGATACCAGATAAGTTGTGTTGGCTAAATAATATATGGATACAATGTGTCTTATAGATGAATATATGCACAAAGTTTAAGAGGCCATTTTCTTTCAGAAACCGAGATTTGTGAATTTTTTCAAATTTTGTGCTTTTTTTGATATTGAAATTTCATTTCATTTTTTTGATGCATATCGATGCACCATGCGAACTTAAAGAAAGGCTATCTTATATAGATGCTATGACAGCTGTCATTGATAACGAATGCCATGCAGGTTGTCCATATAGTTAGTATGGGTTAGTTGGGTACTGTGGCACTGCGCGCCTCCTTACTCATTATATGTGAATTTGACACTTTACAAAACCGTTAACGTATATTTTACAACATGAATGCAAAAACTAACTTAACCTTAAATATTTACAAAGCCGCCAACCACTTCACCTCACTAACGAACTCACTAATGTAAAAATAAACGTTCTCACTATCGTTCTCACTAACGACTTCACTAATGTTCTCATAAATTTTCCTCAATATCTTCATCATTAGTGTTAACCCTATTGTAGTCATACTTGAAGCCATAAACTTTCTCTAACTTCTTAACGTACAATTTACATAACTTACCTTCGTCATCGTATGGTTTAATGATATAACTATTTCTATCTTTATACACAGTCAATGAAAAGTCAACTGGTCTCGGATGTATTTGAAAGAACATGTTATGCTCAGGAAGGAAGAATAAATGTTTAAATGTATGTTTGTTATACTGTGGAATTCGAATGAGTTGCTTTTGTTCTGTCATTTATATAAAAATAAAAATTTTCAGTAAAAATAAACTTAAAAATTAATGATATCACCACCCTCACACGTATGAAAACATAGCACAAAAATAAATTTAGGGTAGAAGGTTAGATCTAACCCGATTTCTAACCTCATTTCTACCCTGTTGAATTCATTGCTTTATAACTCTCTTCCTTGGTTTCTTTTTAGTTGCTTTCTTCACATCTGTCTCCAACTTGACTGTCTTTCTTCTTCGGCCGTAATGATACCAGTTACTTCCACCAGTCAATGGGTCAAATGGTCTTTCGTAAGGGTTTCCATACATTCCATAGGGACCATACGGAAGAACTACTGGTGGAGAAGAAACATTTTCTTTAGTTCCATCAAATCTATTTAAATGCATTGTTTCACCTTTCATCTGGTCATTAAAGTCTTTTGCGTGTTTTGCAAACTCATCGTCCTTTCCTAAAGCATTTTCTGACTCAGTCGCAACTAAATTGGATGCTTTATTTATGAGCCCTATTTTATTTAATCTTAACTTCTTTGCAACCCAGCCTCCAATCTTCCCTTTATTTGCATCTAATGTCTTCGAAACCCTTCCTCCACTCATTTTATTTACTGCGTCATAAGCTCCAAGTGCTTTTGCTCCAAATGCTAATGCTTTTGTTCCCATTGCGCCTAAAGCTGCCCAAGCTACTATTTACACCATATTAAAATCATCTCTCTTCAATATTATCTCATAAAAGTTCTCGTTACTGGAGAAAGTCAATGAAACATAAGCGTTCTCATTCATAAACTTCTTTCTTATATCATCTATACGCTTCAAAATGTCTGAACAATTGCTAACATCTTCTACAACAGTTATTTCATCATGAATGACCTTCAAGAACAAGCTCATTTAATATGCTATTAAAATCATCTCAATAATGAGTCCATCCTTTCCATCTTTAGGTAGCACAACATCTTTCATTGAAGAAGGTTCGACAAGTCTTATGTTAAACTTACTGACAAAGTTTGTTATACTATAATGCTTCGGCGGCGAATACATGTAGTTTGAAAGACATAATATAGATTCTTCAGCAAATTCACTTATACTGGATTTTATAACAATGTTCTCACGAGACCAAATACCGCCAATTGACAATCTTGTAAGCAATCCTGCTGAACCTTCTACTGTAAATGTCGATGGTAACATTCCACGAAGGTCATCTATTGACATCTTTGAGTCACTGAATTTAAATATTTTCTTAAAGCAATCGTCATTATCTAACCATGCAATAGCTTTGAAGTTTTCATTCGAATATACATCTGCTTCATTAAATGTAAATCCTGACTTCTTTGCAGAGATGACTTTAAAATCTATTGAGTTTGTTTCAAAATTATATGCTATGGTAACTTCTGAAGGTAATGGATGCCCTTCCGCAGTCAGTTGTTCTCTCACTACCGTTTGAAGCTTTGTGTTAAAAACTTTCATGTCATCTCCTGTGTCTAGGTTCACATACACAGCAACAGGAAAACTATCTTGCTTCTTTGTTTCATCATTATATCTCAAAAACATTAAAGTTCTTCAATAATATTGTTCTTCCTGCTGGAATACTTCGAACCTGTCTGATTTCAATAGCTTTCTCACCTCCTACATACTCTACCCAGTGTCTTGGATATTCATAAGTATACTGACTTTCTTGAATTTTGGTTGGTTTCATCATAACATGTTCATAGTATATCTTTATACTCTTGTCAGTTAGACTCGGTGCTATGTTCTGAATATTTCTGACTTGCATTTTTAATGGAGATAAAATGAAGCATTTAATACATGACGTAGATGAAGACATGAATGAAACTACAGACAAACTTAACTCTTCTCTCATTCTTCCTTTCAGCAAAGATTATGAGTTCTGTTCAAATGGTGTGTATTTCTATTGTGGAAAGATGGGTTCAGGTAAGACATTTAACCTCATTCGTCATATACTCATAACAGAACGTTTAGGAAATGACTCATATTATGACCAAATCATTATATCAGCAACTTCAGACTCTATGGACTCAACAGCGAAAACATTTATGTCAAAAGTTCAAGCCTCTGTCGTTAAAGTTCCAGACAGTGAACTCATTGAATTTCTTCAACGTTACATTCGACGTAAGAGGAAATATTATGCTATCGTAGAGTTCATACAGTCAGGAATGCAAAAGACTTCTGAGGAGATGGAAAGAATTATTGACAAACACCACTTACGTCAATACTCAGGAGTTTACGATATGAAACGACTTACAAACTACATTCTGTCAAAACTTTCAAAATACCCCTTCAAAAAGTATCCTTCAAACACTCTGCTCGTTTGTGACGACTTCGCCGGAAAAGGTTTAGTTTCAAAGCCTGACTCACCATTAGCTAACATCATAACTAAAGTCAGACATTACCACTTAACTGTAGCAATACTTATGCAAACATGGAGGTTTTTAGCTTTAAACATAAAACGTCTCATAACTGACTTCGTTATCTTTCAAGGTTTCTCACGTTATGATATTGAACTCATTTGGAAACAGTCAGGTATAACATTACCTTTTGAAGAAATTTGGGAAGCATATAAGTCTCTCATCTCTCCTCGTTCATACCTTGAGATTCATATCATGACTAATACCATTAAAGTCAAAAATATTCCATGGGAACGACCAACATTGTTTTAAAGTTTAACCTTCAATTGACTGATGGTAAACAAATTCCATGCATCTCTGTCGCCATTTCTGTTAATATTTTTGCTGTCATTCATATCATCCACTTCCCCATCCGTTAGCTTTTGAGGATATGCGTTAGAATAGCTGTTCTTAAATGAAGGCTTTTCACCTTTGAGAGCATAAACTCTATAACTTTCTGCATACTTTATGTTTGAACCTCCTGAGCCATCATTGACATAAATTTTTATAGGCTTCCACCCTTTGTTCATGTTCCTGCTTCTTCCCTTTGCTCTTTTGTTCAGTAGTTCTACATCTTTATACACAGCACCTGTCTCAGTGAATTCAACAATATTTTCATTCGTTAGCTTTAAATTCAAACCCTTGTCGAGTATATTGTTCATTTCATACATATAAAAGGTTTTTATTCTATATGAAATGAGAAGCAAATCCATCTTAGCTGGTGCCGTTAATGTTCCAATTGAACCAACATCAAATGTTGACTCACGAACGACAAACAATATTGTCATAAAGAACTATAGTTCGGAGTGTTTGAAAGAAAAAGAACCAGATCTTAAGTCGGGACCTTCGGTCTTGGCGCATGGCGCCGTGAATTTAAACACAGCTTCAAACGCTAACGCTACATCAGATGTTAAGTTAGAATATCCACCACTGGACCAAGTTCTTTCAAGAGAAGCCAACGACAACCCTTACACAAATGTTCAAACAAATCCTTCAGATAACGTAGACCATTACCTTCTTCAGTTATACCAAACAATTTTACTCAAAGACGATAAGAAGCTTTTGATAAATCTTATAAGTAAGAACCAAATAATTCTAACAAAGGAGGACCTTGAAAATGTTATCTCACGAATAACAGGGAAACAATGTGTCATTGATTATCTCGACCCTGAAATCGAATGCTGTGGTCAAACTCCACTATTCATGAAAATAGGTAACATCCGCATCATTGAAACACCAGGTACTCCAGGAGTTGAGTTTAAGTATAAATATTCGAACGAGTATACAAAACTATCTACTTACTATAAGCTTTGTTTGAAATATGTTTTAGTAAATTAAAGCAGTCAGGAGGGCTCTTTGAGCCCATCTTGGCGCTTTGCGCCGTCAGTCAAAAAAATTTCAAGTTAGCAATTTGTAATATCTATCCAAAACTTCTTCAACAGTATCGAACTCATCTTCATAATGCAAACCTAATCTTATTGACTTGGTGCAGTTTTCACTAACACAATATTTTTCTGTTCTCTTGACTGACATAACTAATTCATTTGTTTCATCAAACAGCAACAACCAAAGTTCATAACCTAATACATAACATTCATACTTTATATTTTTAGCTCTGAGTTCTCTTGTAAGCTGTTGCATTTAATATTTTCTAAAAAGTCAACTTCAACAGTCATTCGCACTGGTGCCTTCAGTTCTACAGGCTCTCCTTGAAAGTCAACAAGTCTGAATTGCATGTCTTTCAAATTATGAGGACTAATGCGAACCCATTTACCTAAATGAGTTGCTATGACAGGAACGTTTGGAATGAACATTGAATTTACTTCATAACAGAAAGACTTATATTCTACTGAACCTTTACTATTAACTCCTGAAATACCTGTGACATTAGCTATTTTTGACTCAACGTACAAACAATTACCATAACATACGTATGGAACAGATTTCATCTCAATCGTTTTGTCAACACTTTTCAAAGGAAATGTCATATGGTATGCTCCCAGAAGCAATTGAACTCTATGACTCATTCGTGTTATCTTAAACTCCTTCACATAACTGAACTTCAAAACTCCTGCAATAAGTTTAACATTCATTAAGTTTTCTTCGTTATCCTTGTTTATTGTAGTATTTATGAGAGCATTTAACACTCCAGCTAATGTTTCCATCTTATATTCTACATTATTGTGAAATCTTATTTCGTGCTTCTTTCCATCTATTTCAATCTCCATGAAATCTGTTTCATCTGTTATAACGAATGAAGCGATAGTATTGAAGTCAACCATTCTGAATGCAAGCGCCTCATTCTGTAGACCTAAGTTTGTTTGTAGCTTTACTGTCCCGTATTCGTTTGGGTCTGTACTTTGCAAATAGAACAACATTTTATTCTCATTAAAATATGAGTATAGCTGCATATGCGTATGAAGCTGACAGAGCTAAACGTTTATATTTTGGTCAATACTCTCTCACACTTACTGACAAATATATTGTTATCACTGATGGAAATACTGAGAAATACATAACATGGAAGGACTATGAAAAGTTTGACCCTATTTTAACTCCATGTACTATGCCATTCATTGTAAATGGTGAAGTTGTCATGAAGAACGACACAACCGTATATAAGTCTGTTCATGAAGCGTTAGAATATATGTTGAATCATAACCCAAAAAGATTTGACCCAAGCACTACACCATGTGCAATGCCGTTTATAAAGGACGGTGAAATCGTAAGAGTTCCGGATTCAACGGTTTACACAGCTGTTCAAAACAGTTTACAAAACATTTTAGCGAATATCTTTAATTCAGAAACTACAGAAATAAAATTACCGTATATAACAGATGCTAAAGAAATTAAATCAAAAACGACAACATTATTTACGTCACTTAATGATTTAATGACTTATATCATTAATATTCCTGCACCAACTACAGCATTTGATCCAAACTCGACGGTTTGCAGTGTACCTTTCATAAATGACAGTTCATTAATTACTTTAAGGGATTCGACAGTAAATGAATCATTAAAGGCGTCATTAATGAAAATCATTGATTTTAATTCATTCATGAATACATATAATTCATTCATTAATGTTTCATATGCTTCTAAAGAAGGTGAGCCAAAAACTATCGATAAAGCGGTGTATGAAATAAAAGCATCAACGACGAAATTGAATTCGTTAACTTTTGACGGTGATAGTTTCGTTAATGACATAACATCGGGGAAAACAATTTTAACGAAAGAATACTTAAAATCTCATGTTAGTGAGTTCGTTGAAATTGAAAAAGAAGGTGGAATTAAGTTCGATCCACTGAATTTCATTTTCAGCTTAGCGAATGCGGGTGTTAGTTTCGCTGAATGGACAACGATACAGAGTGAAATAAATGCAATATGGACGTTTTTGGGGTCAAAAGCGGGGATGAGTGAGCTTGTAAATGCTGCAAGAACATTAGGTGAAACAGGAAATTTTGTAGATGGTTTTAAAAGACTTGTTTCAAACGTTTTGACAAACACAAAGAAATTATTTAGATATACCGTACATAACGGACGGATTTTCGAACAGATAGCAACAAACCCTCCGGTTATGGCTGCGTTGATGATGGTTAGAGATATAAAACCACGTAACGACGGGAACGAAGAACATGAACAACAGGATACTGGTCGGGTTATTCGAGACATTAAAAACGTGTATCCTGAAGTTATTGATTTATTTAGAGGAGTTAATGATTCAATTTCAAAACATTCTATAACCCTCGATGAAGAGAATAAATTAACAGATTATATATTCGTCATTATTGCAGAATTAATGAAGAGAATAAATGAAAAAGGAATTGGTGATATCATTAATGTCAGCGATGTAATGATGAAAAGAAATTTTGACTCATTATTTACAAAACCGAAAACAGAATATAGTCTTTATGACGTAATTACCGAATTAATGAAAAAGATTAATGATAATAAGAGTTCTGGCGGAAGAGTTGAATTAGAAGTGAATGATGTTAATGAGAAATTAGCCGAAAAAGCAGACAAAAATGAGCTTTTAGCTCTGAGTGATAAAGTCAAGAACCACGTTCATTATATAACTTCAGACGAACAGATTATAACGGACTACCATGGATATTTAACACGAAGTGATGAAGTGAAGACGAAAGATGTTAATGAAAGAAGATATAAATACATTCGTGCTAAAGGTTATGACATAAGCTGTACTGTACAGTATGATGTAGCTAAAGCACCAGAAGCATTTGGTTATACCGGTGAAATTTATGCCTCTACTTTCTCTGTTAAAGGTGTATTAGTTGAACCAAGATTTACATTGAGAGTTAAGTCAAAAATAACGTTTGAAGATGCTATTAAAAGTAAAGCTGACAAAGTTGAACTCGAAGCAATGAACAAAGTTTTGAAATCTCATAAACACAACATCTCCGATATAAATGAACTTCAAGCTACATTAAATAGTAAAGCTGACAAGAACCATACACATGAATCCTTCACTACTGTTAGAGCTGATGACATAATATTGAACTTTGACCTTGGTTCAAGTGCACCTTTAGAGAATCCAAGTACAAGCGTAAAAGATACACTAAACTCCTTAAATAACAAATGTATGAACATTGAAGGTCATGTCAGAAACTTTGAAGCATATGAACTACCAACAATGTTAGATAAGAAAGCTGACAAAACAAAGCTTCAAACATTAAAGACTGAAATACTTCAAACATTATATCCTATAGGCTCTATTTATACGTCAATGAACTCAACAAATCCAGAAACAGTTTTAGGTTTTGGTGAATGGAAGCAGATTGTAGACAAATTCTTATACTGTGCTAGATATTCAAAGCAAACAGGAGGTTCGAAGAAAATTAAAGAAGCAAACCTTCCACCGCACACTCATACAGGAACTACAAACTTTTCTGGCGACCATAGCCACTCATTAAGAGACCACCCATTATACAACTCAGAATATGAAGCTGGCAATGACGTTTTATCTCCATCTTATAACAATTCAGCAAAAAAGACTTTTCGACCAACTGAACCAGGAGGAAATCATTCACACACTTTCACAACAAATCCAACAGGCTCGGGTGCAGATTATATGCCACCATTTGTGACTGTATTCGCATGGTACCGCGTTCAATAAAATCTTTAACTTTACATAAATGAGCTTGAAAGAAGTATTCGAACAACATCCATGGAGGTCATTTAAGAAGTTCAATGAAGCTGCAAAGAGTTGGGGAATTACTAACAGAGCTGAAGTTAAAAAGTTCTTTGACAAAAATGTTGTACATCAAACAAAAATAAACCCTTACGACTACTTTTTACCAATTTACTCCAACACTCCTGACGCATACCAATTTGACACTCTCATTCAAAGCAGAAAAGGAGGACATAAACCATTCCTCATCTTCATTAATGTTAACACTCGTAAAGCATATGCATATCCAATGAAAAATAAAGGAACTCGTGAAGTGTTAAGAGTTTTACAGACGTTCGTGGCAGAACATAGCCCAAGTACTTTAACATCAGACCAAGACAGTGCATACCTCAGCAATGAAATCACAGATTTTCTCATTAAGCATAACATAACTCACTACACTACTGAAGACCATAACCATAACATACTCGGTATCATAAACCGCTTCATAAGAACGCCCAGAGATTTAAACCAAGAGCGAGACTTTACCGAAGAAACAATGAATCATTTTCTCGAAGTATATAATTCCTCAACACATTCTACAACAGGACATACACCAAATTCAATGACACAACAACAAGAAGAAAAGTATATACAAAAGAAACGAAGCCAAACACAAAATATCAGAAATTCAACACAATTTACCCTCATTCCTGGTACAAAAGTTCGTGTAGTTCTTGACGACAAACCGTTGACAAAGAAACGTTTAAGGTTAAGTCGAAATTATTATATAGTAGATTCAACGCAAGGTAATGGATATCTTATAAAAGCTGCTGACGACTCCATAGCATTTTAACCTCGTCATAAATTAGTTGAAAGTAGTAATGGCAAACTTGCTGAAACCATTGACGAAGCAAAGCGAGGAGTGGTTATTGAAATACTTGGCTATAACACAAACGATGACACTTATAAAGTAAGATATGAAGGAGGCGTTGAAGATGTTATACTATCTAAGAACTTGAGAGAGTCGAAGCCAACACATCTGGGACCATTAGAGCGGGAGTACTGGAAAGATAAAAACATGCCAGAAAGAATAAGAAAATTCTTCTAAACTTTTTCGTTGGATGTAAATCAGACATGAACGAGAACAGTCATGATATCATTAATGGTACCATTTATTTACACCAAAAATAATGTTTAGGGTAGATGGTTAGATCTAACCTCATTTCTACCCTCATTTCTACCCTCATGAATTTCCTTAAGACAGAAAAAATAACGTTATTTTTCTAACTTTTTATCTTGTAGGTAAGAACAGAAATGTCAGTCGAAGCAAAAACATTCACTAACAAATCTAATGGCGAAACATTCACAAAAGGCACTTATAACGGTATTGAAGTCTTACGTAGAGACAAGGATGGTTACATTAATGCAACAAATATGTGTCAGCAGTTTAGGAAAGACTTTAGAAAGTTGTTGGAAAATAAGTCCTGGGAAGAGTATTATAAGACATTTTGACGAAGTGCAAATCTTCACTTCGTGTCATGATGCAAAAATAATGCAGGAATTCCTGAGTTTTGGTTGAAAGAATACGGTCGAGCCACTTTTGGCTCCACCTCAAAACAAGCATTTTATGAGCTTACTAAGGGCGTTATAAATGAATTCAAAGGTATTTACATACATCCTGACCTCGTTCATTTTGTTGCTGAATTTACACCAAAAATAATGTTTATGTTAGCATGTTAGATCTAACACGTTTTCTAACCACTTTTCTAACATGGTCTAAAACACACAAAAGCTCACTATTCATGAATTCGATGAAATAGAAGTGAAACCAACTGACTCAGTAGAAATAAAGAAGTTCATACGTAAAGTAAACTATGAGTTTCTAGGATATCATTGCAACCATAAAGTTATGGACAAAGATTGCGACATGGTATATAAGAACATCTCTGACATATATAAATCTGAAGAATTTAAGACATACGACAACTTTGTTTCGTTAGTTGCTGAATGTGTATGGCAGATAAGAGATAAAGATAAAAGATGTAAAATATGGAACGAACAAATCAGACCTACATATTCTGAGTTAAAGAAAACCATTGACGCCTTAGTTGTTCTAGCAGGTCAAATTTCAATGTATAACGCAAAAATGAATCCACAATGTTCAAAATGTAAAGCAGCAATGAGGAAATATAACTACTCCGTCAAAGAGATAGAACGTATGAGAAACGACTATGCTGACTTAAAGAAAGAAGTAGAGAAACCAGCAGAAGATAAAATGGACATGTTAGCATTTCTGAATAAAAACAATCCAACAGCAGAAGATTTCCTATTATCTGATGTCAAGAAGAAGTATAAAGAAACCTTCGGCATAGTTAAAATTTTTGATATTCTTCGTGAAGAAATAGAAGCTACAAAACTGTTTAAAGTCATGAACCATCGCAACATATACCATGTAAAACGCTTGTAAATAGTTATGTTAGAAAAGTGGTTAGAAAACGTGTTAGATCTAACATGCTAACATAAACTTTATTTTTGTCTGAAAAATGACCAAATTTCATGAATTTTTAACATTTCCTTAAGACAGAAAAAATAACGCTAATTTTATTTTTATTTATTTTTTTATTTTGTATGTAAGAACAGTAATGTCAACAACAGAGAACACAACAACTGCTATCGTTCATGAAGCCATAAATGAAGAATACGAATACATACAATATAACAAACAACTTCGCCTCATTCGTTCGGTCAAAGATGATATGTACCAAATGCAAAGTATTTTGAATGCTCTTCTTTCTACAAAGCAAGCATATCATTGGTTTGAAAACCAACAGACAAAAGAACTTTTAGAAGAATTTCCTCATATGATTGCTTCCCTCGGAAAACCGAGAGAAGAGATTCCGTACGAAAATCGCAAGAATTTGGCTCCTGGTTTGAAAGGTTATTATGTTCATAGACTTTTAGTAAATGCTGTAGCAATGTGGGCTTCACCTCGTTATGCTTGTTATATTTTCATGATGTTAGATGAACTATATAAAGCAGAACGTGGAGAGATGGAAAAGAAACTTCAAGCAAAAGATGAAGTCATTGAATCCAAAGACAAAAGCATACAGAAAAGAATACCGCGTTCAGTACCAAAAGGAAAGGAAAAAAGCTATAAGTATATGATTTACGCTGAAGAGTTGGAGAAAGAAGAAGATAGAGATATGGTTATGTTGCATTTAGTCAGAAGAAACAACAAGAGCTTTTATGACCTCGCTAAAATATATAAATCTGACAGAAACTGGTTCTATCGTGAAAACTTACCGATTTCAATGACACCGAATGAGCAAATAAAGGAAATTGTCAAAAATACTCTTCCTCAAACACACTATGACATCAAAGGTTGCACAATACTTATATTCAAAGAAGACTTAACATTACTGAAGGAAAAAATAACAGAATATTTCGACAACTTCAAAGAGGAAGAATGAACAAAAAATATATTTTTGCTTAAATGACGTCAGGGTCAATTTCTTCAACCATTTCACTTTCTTCGTCAATGTCAATAGAAGCTTCTTCAACCTTTGGTAAGAATTTCTGTATAACATCTTTGTTCGTTATTGTCTTCAGAGATGAAGGATAATATTTCACATTTGTTTCACCCTTCTTATATTCTTTCTGTTCGGAAAGATTTAAAGCAATACTGAAGAAGTCAATGTTAGAGTTCTTTATAACAGTATAATGAGTATCTTTGACATTCACGAAGAAACCCTTTTGTTTCAAAACTACTGCTAACTCTTGTGAAGTATAACGTTTGCGGTCAATGACGATAGCTAATGGTCTGACATACTGACCAAACTTAGATTCTTTCACAAACTTCTTGTTAAAGATAACATTAACATTTGAAGCATTATTGAACTCATTCTTGATGGCATTAGCGAGAGCATTGTATGAAAAGAACTTGCAATCTTGCATGTGTTTCATTAAAATAAAAATATTAAATTATTTTGAAAAATAACTTTAAAAAATCTAATCTAATTTTTTCAAAAAAAAATATTTTTTTTATTTCCTACTAAAGATGTATCGGAAGTTGTCTAAGTTAGAACACTCGGAAATAAAACAACTTCTTACAGAAGCTAATATAGATGTTGCAAAGCATTACGCGACAAACAAAAAAGCACTCGCTGACATCCTCAATGACTACAATGGTGAAATAACTTATGATAGAATTCATGAGTTCATAAAGTCGCAACGCGGCGAGGACGAAGTCCATGCAAGAGCATTTCCTTTAAATGACGTTGCTATTGACTTATATCATAGACGTTCAGTACCTCATGAAGTAAGAAGAGAAATGTTTGACATAACAAATGCAAACGTTGGTCATACTCGTAAAGCTCTTTCTCATGATGTTCGTCAAGAGATGTTTGACATAACAAATGCAAACGTTGGTGAAACACGAAAGAGAGATGACACACTGAAACAACAGAGAAGAGAGATGTTTAAAATGCTTTAGAACAAGTTCGCAAAGCTAACGATGTCATTCTTCCATTGACGACAAACCAAAAGAAGGTGGGAGATGGTTAAAGAAAGATGAAGAGAATAGGAAGAGAAATGTGAAGTCAGGCAATAGACTCATTGACTTTAACATCGAAGCTTTAGATGAACCAAACAGAGACTACTTACACAAACATTTCGGTAAGGTTTTCATGAGACTCTTAGAGAAGATTAAAATAAAACTCCCAACAAAGATGGATGGTATGTTATAAACTGGTGGAAAGTATGAATGTTCTACGTTAACCTCAATAATATTGGAACATTACTACATCAGCTCTTGAAGAGAACTTTATATCAGAGATAGAAGCAAATGCCGCAGGTATTGTTGAAATGCACTATGACTTCTTCTTGACAAACATAAAGAATCTTACTGAAATAAAGATGTATGATTTAAAAAATGAAGCTTAACGATGTCAGATGTAAAGAAAGGCAAACCAAAAAAGAGACCATATAGAGATGAAACACACTGACAGAAAGACAGAAAAGATTATTGAACAGACTTAAACAAACAGGAGATAAACAAGATATAGATGACTTCTGAATGAAATCCTTGGTGAAAAGAAAGAATTTTATAAGAAGAGAACGGTTCAGTTCTGGAAGTATCTTGCACATTACCTATAAATCTTAACGCTACCAAATCTTCAATGAACTGAACAAAAGAACTGCAACACTTATGACAGAAATAACTGCTTCGTTTATGCTTGCATTCAGGCTGAGTAAATGAAGAAACTATTGACTACATAGAGAGAAGTCATTCGTGTTAGAGACTTTCCTCAAAGTAAAGACAAGAAATTTCTGACGCAACTGTATAGCATTTAATGTTACCATTGGTATTTCAATGACTCAAGACATAATGAAATAAAGAGATATTATACCAAAAGAATGTGAAACTGTTCAACTATTGACTTACTTCTTGTTGAAGACCACTACATGCTAAATAAAGACTTCCAATGACAACATATTTCATTCGCAACTATATAGAAATCTTGAAGGAGTGTGGTGGAATGAACATTGAGAAACAGATGAAGATTTATACAAAGAGAGAGAACAAATATGTAGTTCGCATGGATAGAACTACACCGCTATGGGATGTTATGAAAACATTGTGGGAGTGCAAATATTTCGAACCTATTTCTTATGGAGAACTTTTCACATATACGACTGACTTATATAAACAGAACCTTGCACCATTTAAAGATTTGACATATGCTCCAAAGTATTGTGTACAACTGAAGAAGAAAGCAGAGTCAAAAGAAGTAAATAAAAATAAGTGCAAGTTCATTCCTGAGCATGTTTTCTTTGCTGACTTTGAGTGTAGCACAGACGGCTTTCATAAAGCTTTTAACATCTGTTATGACAGTGAAGATGGTTCAGTGAGTGAAAGCATTTGGGGTCAGAACTGCGCAACAGAATTTTTGGAACGACTTCCTGACAAGAGTTTAGTATATTTTCACAACCTCAGCTATGACATAAACTTCATCTTAAGACACATGACAGAAGTGAAAGGAACTCCCATCATTAAAGGTTCACGAACAATGCAAATAACTGGCTTATATAAAGGAAGGACAATTATTATAAAAGACTCTTACAGTGTTATAAATAAGAAGCTTAAACTATTTCCTGCTATGTTTAACTTACAAACAGGACCGAAAGAAGTATTTCCATACAACTACTACAGCAGTACTTTGTTAGCAAATGACAACAGAACTGGTGTCATTTCTGAAGCATGTAAGTTTATCCAGGATGCAGATACATTTATGAAAAACATAGATTCCATCAAAGGTTGCAGAATAGATGAGAACCACTTCGACTTAGAAAAATATAGCTCATTTTATTGCAAACAAGATGTAAGAATTTTAAGAGAAGGTTTTGTTAAGTTCCGCAATGACATATTGAAAGAATTTGATTTAAACGTTTATGACTACGTTAGTATTTGTTCAATTGCTAACAAATTATTTGAGAACAGAGTGTACTTCCCGAATGGAAATTTATATGATCTCTCAAATAAACCAAGAGAATTTATTTCGAGATGCATTCAAGGTGGAAGATGTATGTTGTCAGATAACATTAAACAAAAGAGCGAAAAGAAACTCATTGCTGACTTCGACGCTGTTTCATTATATCCATCCGCTATAGCAAGACTTTATACTTTAGAAGGAATTCCAAAGGTTATGAAGGATGAGATGCTAAGCACAGAGTATCTCATGAGACATTTATTCGATGACGACCAAAAGGAACCCATTGGTGAAAAGTTTATGTCTGGCTTCTTTGTTCTCATTAAGATAACAGAGATTGGAATACATAGACACTTTCCTTTAATAGTTTGTGACCCTGAACTAAATCCAGAACTTAACGTTCCCAGAAGTTCAAACACTTGCTGTCTCATGTATGTTGACCATATAACATTACAAGACCTCATAAAATATCAAGGTGTCAAATGTGAAGTGTTGCAAGGATACTATTACGATGGAAACAGAGATATTAGAATAAGAGATGAAGTAAAGAAGTTGTTTGAGTTAAGGTTAAAGTATAAGAAAGAGGGAAATCCTTTGCAAGAAAATATAAAGCTCATTCTGAACAGTATTTATGGCAAAACTATTCTATCTCCTATTGAGTCAAAAATAACCATAGTAAATGACAAAGATGCTATAAGATATGCCATCAGAAACTACAACCATATAGTGAAGTTCGAAGGTTTGGATGGTTCAGATAAAACTATTTTCAAGCTAACGAAAAGCATTTGCAGACACTTTAACTTCTGTCCACTTGGTGTTAACATTCTGTCTATGTCGAAGAGAATAATGTGTGAAGTATTCTGTACTGCAGAAGATATGGGTCTTCAAATATTTTACCAGGACTGCGATAGCATGCATATTTTCAATGAAGACATCCCACTGTTAGCTCAGGAATTTCAGAAGAGATACGGTAGAGAAC